TGCCTGAGCTGGAGACGAGCTGCGCGGATCCAGTCGATCAGCACCTCAGTGACATCACCCTTGCTGCGCAAGGGGAAGATTGTGGTGTAACGCGAGTAGTCGTCAACCACCAACAGGAAGTAGCGCTCGTGACCGAGTCCACGGACGCGGGCAGGGCCCCACACGTCCATGTGAAGCGTCTGCAACGGAGCCTCTGTCGGAGGAAACTGGGAGGAGTGAGGGGCAGCACGCTGGCGCCCCTCGACACAGGGGACACAGGCAGGGCCAGGGCCCTGAGGAAGGGGAGGGAGGGACCGGGGGAGACCAGACACAAGAAGACGGGAGGCCATGCCTCTGAGTCGAAGCAGAGAGGGGTGACCCAGGCGGTGGTGCCAGAGGAGAGTCTCGTGAGACAGGCGACGATACGAACAGGGGGCAGACTCAGGACCAGACCTGGACACTGCAGCAAACACCTGACCTGACGAAGGGACCCTACCAGACTCAGGAACTGGAGGAGAAGCAGTGGTCAGTGTGTACAGGCTCGACCCTGGCTGACGTGTAAACGTAGCCAGGTGACGGCCTGTGCTAGCCTCTGTGCAGTGCGTCACCCGCTGACGAGCAGGGTTGAACTGGTGGACTCCTGCATCCTGGAGGTCAGCACCACTCACCAAGTTCGTAGAGAATGAGGGGAGGTAGAGACCAGACAGGGTGCCAGAGGGAGCCGCCGGACACGGGAGGACTGTGGAGAAGCGAGACAGGACAGGACCCCCAGAGGGGTCAGCCAGGGAAACCGCAACCGGCCAACTAAGCGGCGTGAGAGTGGTGCGGTCCCGAAAGAAGGAGCGAGACGCTCCAGAGTCAAGAGTGAAGGTGTGGGAGGCCGAGGTCGACGCAGTACCTGAGAGCGCAGACTCACTAGTACCTGAGAGAGCAGCCTCACCAGTACCTGAGAGCACAGACGCACTGGCACCTAGAGCAGAAGCCTCACCGACACCTAGAGCAGCAGTACCAATGCCCGGGTCGGGCGGGAAACACCGGTAACAGTCACCCTCATCACTAATGGTCACAGCATACACGGCAGCAAGGATAGCATCAAAGTCAAGATCAAAGATAGCCACACCAGCCCTAGACAGCTCTCCCCAGCGGGGGATCTCCGCGGCCTCCGGGAACTGCTGACGCCAAGCGTCCGTCAGGCGGCCAAAGCAGCGCTGGGCGGTGTGGGTACCCCCACACTGCTCTCCAGCACGGTCGCCAGTGCGAAGGACGTAGGTGCAGGGACCAAAACCCCCACCACGCTGACGCTGCGTGTACCACTCACGGAGCTGCTGAGGCGTCAGGAGGTCGCGAGAACGCTGCTGCTGCTGCTGCTGGCGCTGCCCACCCCCAGTGCTGCTCCGCTGCGAAGTGCAACTCCGACCACCTCCACCACCGCCACCGCCACCGCCACTGCCACCCCCGCCTCCGCCTCCACCGCCGTCGCCTCCGCCACCTCCGCTCCCACCACCACCGCCGCCGCCACCCCCGCCTCCACTGCCGCCACTAGTACCCCCACCCCCGCCACCACCTCCACCGCCACCCCCACTCCCTCCGCCGCCTCCACCGCCACCTCCACCGCCCCCGCTGGCCCCACCCGCTCCCTTGCCCCCCTTGCCCTTGCCAGAGCGGCGTCTCCCGCTAGGGGCAGACGCCGCACCGACCGACTCAAGACCAACGAGGTCGGCCGCAGCGGCAGAGGCGACAGAGGGCAGGAGAGGGGAAGGAGAACACCCCTCAAAGATGGGGGCGCGGGGGTCACCTCGAGAGGCTCCTACAGCGACTATGCTCTTCTCCGCCGCTAGGAGGGCCTTCTCGAGGCTGTCGACTGTGAGGGTGGTGGGACAGACCGCGAGGAAGTGGTCCCGGACTACACGAAGGGAGTCAGGGAGGCGAGTGACTAAAAAGTAGAGAGTGATGTACATGGGGGGGGGTTCTTGGCGCAGAAGTCAGCAGGAAGCGCAGCGCGGTAGCGAGTGTCACTAGTGCGGAGGTGCGTAATGAGGTCAGCGTTAGTGGGAAAGGCGGCAAGGTCAGGGAAGAGGAAGGGGAGCATGAGGCGGCTCAGTGCAGCAGTGGCAGGGGAGGAGTAGCGCGCAACTACAGCGTCGTACAAGGTCTGGGCACTCTTGTACTGGCTAAAGTGCGCGCGCTCAGCGGTAGGCAGGTGGCGACGCACAGCAAGACGTGCAGCAGCATCGCGCGTGGCCCACAATGAGCGAACAGTGGTGTCAGCATCAGCAGCAGGGGCAGGGACGGCGCCAGAGGTGAGGTCAAAGAGAGAAAGACCGTCTGCTCTATCGCACTGTAAGAACAGCTGCAGGTCGTCGAGCCAGACGTCAAAGTCAATGGCACGACCCTCAGCGTCAAAAGCTAGGACACTAGGGGTAGCCATGACTGCAACCGGCGATCTCACCAGACAGGACGGGTCGGGGAGCACAGTAGCACAGCAAACACGGCTGCTCGGCCGGCTCAGCAGCAAAAGCAGCACCTCGGCACCAGCGGCTCGGCTCCCCGGGCGGCTCGGGCGGCTCGGGCGGCTCGGGCGGTTCGGGCGGCTCGGGCGGCTCGGGCGGCTCGGGCGGCTCGGGCGGCTCGGGCGCTCAGCGGCACAGGCGACCCGGGCGGCTCTGCAGCTCGGGCGGCTCGGGCGGCTCGGCTCCTCAGCTGCGCAGGCGGCTCGGGTGACGCGGGTGGCACGGGCGGCTCGGGCGTCGTGACAGGCGGCTCACGGGCGGCTCGCGGGCGGCTCACGGGCGGCTGAAGGGCGGCTCACGGGCGGCTCACAGGCTGCTGTCGGGCGGCTCACGGGCAGCTCACGGGTGGTGCACGGGCGGCTCACGGGCGGCTCACGGGCGGCGCACGAGCGGTCACGGGCGGCTCACGGGCGGCTGAAGGCGGCTGACGGGCGGTGCACGGGCGGCTCACGGGCGGCGCACGGGCGGCGCACGGGCGGCTCACGGGCGGCTGAGGGCGGCGCACGGGCGGCTCACGGGCGGCTGAGGGCGGCGCACGGGCGGCTCACGGGCGGCTCACGGGTGGGTCACGGGCGGTTCACGGGCGGCGCGTCGGGCGGCTGAAGGCGGCGCACGGGCGGCACGTGGACGGCCTTGGGCCTGGCGGGCGGCGGCGCACGGATGGCGCGCGGGCGGCCTGGGGCCTGGCGAGCGGCGCGCGGGTTCTAGGGCGGTGTGCGGGCTGGAAAGGGCGGCGCACGGGCTGCTAAGGGCGGCGCGCGGGCTGCAAAGGGCGGCGCACGGGCGGCTAAGGGCCGGAACGGGCGGCGCGCGGGCGTGAAAGAGAGAGCCCGGAGCGCGCTCCGGGCAGAAAAAAAAATCGAAGTAGTGGTGGGCCCTAAGCACAGTTCCCACAAGGGAACCTGCTCGATACCATGAGAAGAATAGAACGAGAATGGAATGACTATGAATGAAGTGAGTACAAATAGGAAACCCTAATGGGATTGTACCCCCTATGGGATACCCCACTATAGCCTACACAAATAAGTAAGCTATAAAGTTCTGACAACAGTCACCGTTTTACCTGAACTACGGACAAGACCCGACAGTACCCATGATCCCGAATCCCGACAACCCGGTGCCACGAGCATAACAGTTTGCCAAAATTTTACAAGCAGCACGGACCCGGGCAGCAGACGCAATAAAAAATCAAACATCATCGCTAAACGTAACGCCGGCCGCCACCGCCGACCTGTCATTTACCAACCTGACGACCTAGTTTTACTCGACACTCAGAACCTCCGACTGCCCATCACCCCAAAACTCTGCCCCCGATATTGCCGGCCATTTCGCATAAGCCACATGATTACGCCCGTCACCGCCCACCTCCTCCTCCCCGCTGACTGGTATGTCAGCCCCTCATTCCACGTCAGCCTGCTTCGCCCTTACGTCCCGTCCACAAGCCAACTGTCATGTAATCGCCCAGCCAGCATGACACGACCGCCGACTGAACCAATCATCGTACCCGAGAAAATTATGAGCCATAGAGTTCGTGACCCTCGAGGAGCCCGAAGGATCGAGTTCCTGATCCGCTGGAAAGACCGTACACCGACCGAAGACAACTGGGTTCCCCTGGACAGAGTCGAAAACCACCCCATCCTCACAGTGTATCTGCGCAGCCGAAACTTCAGGGATGTACACGCACTTTCGTAAGGAGGACCTCCTTAAGGGGGGGGGGGATAGTGTAAGGAGAATTCCTTTTCCTTACTTCGCGCCCCGGTTCAGCACGTACACCACTGTAGCACCACAGTCAGCACCATTACCACTCGCAGCCATCGCATCGACAATCCTCCCGCCACCTTCGCATGTTGCACCCCGACCTCACGGCTCGGCGGGTAACCCGCGCTCCGGGCCTCCGCTTCGACATTTCCCCAAACCTCAGTCCCAGGCCCGTCGCGCGACAACCACAGTTCATTACCGTTACCACTGTAGTTTCGCTATATATTCTTCGCTCATGCCTTCGGTCATTGTACTCTTGCTTCGATAGTGCAATTCTCGCTCGCTCACTCAATTGCACTCGTAACATTCACAAAAAAAAATGGAGAATGTGTATGTGACTTGAAGGGTGGGTCTATTCAAATTACACTTCGTACCACAGACTGCACGAAAAAGGAGCTGTATAAACGAAGTACATATCCTCGTATAAGCATCTTGACAAATCCCCAAAACGCGCTCACAAAAATCCAATATTTCGTCATACATGTTTCGTCTTCGCCTCACTTCGCCTGCCCGCAACCCACTCCCCTCTCCCCTCAACCGCCATCCGCAGCAATCTGCAAATCTCCATTCCCGCCCTCGTGCTTAGGCTCTGCCCTCCAACCGACCTCGCGACTCCTAGTCCCTTGCACGGATCGCCCTGCGCTTAGGCCGTCCGAGGAGTTAAATTCATGACAGCAGGAGTCGAGTGAATTTTTAGGCCTCGATTGCACGATAGGATTCGTAACTTGATTCTTGCTGCCACTGCCGGCCGCTATGGGTCGCGAGGTCGAGTCCAGCGAGGTGGAGGTGGAGGCGTTACCCACGCCTCCTAAGTTCGATCTGAACATCGACTGGTCGCAAGTTAATCTCGAGGCGCTTCAGTTGCCTGAAGGCGAGGACTTCGACATTAAGAGGTGGGCTGGGTCTGAGTAGTTGGTTTCGCAAAAATCTCACGTGGAGAAATCAGCACTAAGATCGGGTTTGGTACTTCCATCCGCTTGCGAGAAACGACGCTGGATTTCGAGTTAAGTGCCGATCACGCACTCCTGGCTGACCGTAAGGTGGATCAGTTCCGCAGTAAGCAGTCCGACAAGGAGGGACATTAAGAGGTGGGCTGTGTCTGAGTAGTTGGTGTCAAGATCGGGTTTGATACTTCCATCCGATTTTTAGAATTGACGACTAAACCCGAATTTACGGCTGATCACGCACTCGTGGCTGACCAATATTCGGATTGGTTCTGCAGCAAGCAGTCTGGCAATAAAGAGAGAGGAGGGGGTGGAGGAAGGGAGAATACGGGGAATAGCAGCCTGACAAGGCGGAACATTGAAGTCGGGCGATCGCATGGCTCTTTTAGGGTTTCCAATCTAGAGCATCACGCCGCAGGTTTTGTAAGTTTCCTCTGCGCGTCGATTAACCTGCTGACAGCCTTCTCGATGCGATCCGGTAACGGCATAGATACCATGGCGGCTCGCGAACTGTTACAAGATCTGCACCGTTCGCTACAGGATCAGGGTAATTTCATAATCGTTTCTGGTTGCGCCTCCTCGTCTCCCCCCATCCACTAGGACCGCAGGAGAAACTTCCGAGTCGCCAACGAGTCCAATTTCCGTCTCCGGTCCGCTTTTTAGGCGCCTAAAATAATCGTCCGCAGGAGGGCTCCGATGAGTTCAATTTCCTTTTATCTTTTTTTTTTTCTGTTCGTTCTCACGTCATCTCCCCTTCCCCCCCACCCAACCTCCCATCCCCTCCCCCCCCCTCTTCCCCCCCCCCCTCTCCCCCCCTCTTCCTCCCCTCCCCTCCCCCCCCCTCCCCCAACCCTCTCTTTTCTCTCTTCCGTCCCTTCGTTTTCCCCCTGCGCGCAGCGAGGACGAGGAGGAGGAGCTGGAGGTGGTGGAGTCGGAGACGGGCTTCGGGAACGTCATCGTCGTCGACAACCTGCCCGTCGTGCCGCCCGAAAAGTTTGAGAAGCTGCAGACCGTGGCCAAGAAAATTTTCGGGCAGATTGGGCTGATTCGCGAGGGGGGGCTGTGGATGCCCGTGAATAAGGAGACGCAGAAGACAAACGGATATGCCTTTATCGAGTATGCCACTCCCCAGGTACGAAATAAGTATTGGCCAAGATGCGATGCTTTCGTTTTCGCCTCTCTGTCTGCGATTTCCTGCATTTGCATTGATTTCCCCGATTCTCTACCCTTTTTCCGTCCCCTCTTTCGCTTGTTATCCGCCCCCCCTGTCTGTCCCATACCCATGTCTATCGTTCCTCTTTGTCGCTTCGTCGCTCCGTGGCTTCCCTTTTTGTTGCATGCAGGAGGCGCAAGCGGCGCGGGAGCAGATGGACGGGTACAAGCTGGACAAGGCGCACGTCTTTAAAGTCTCCATGTTTGACGACTTCGAGAAGTACGCGCGCGTGCCCGACCAATACGCGCCGCCGCCGCTCAAGGAGTACACGCCCTCGGTGCGTGGGTGTGGGAGAGGGGGGAGGGGGTGCGTGGGTGGGGCGGTGATGGTTAGGTGGGTGGGTGCGTTGGTGGGGTGGTGATGGTTAGGTGGGTGGGTGTGTGGTTGGGTTGGTGATGGTTAGGTGGGTGGGTGTGTGGTGGGGTGGTGATGGTTAGGTGGGTGGGTGTGTGGTTGGGTTGGTGATGGTTAGGTGGGTGGGTGTGTGGTTGGGTTGGTGATGGTTAGGTGGGTGGGTGTGTGGTTGGGTTGGTGATGGTTAGGTGGGTGGGTGTGTGGTTGGGTTGGTGGATGGTGGGTGCGTGGGAGCGTGGGTGAGTGGGACGGATCGATGGAGCAACTAGGGCCAAGGGCGAGTTCGTCTGAATGCCGTCTTATCCTCGCCACTGCTGCGTGCCGCCGCTCAAGGAGTAGACGCCCGTGGTGGGCCGGCGAATGTGCGGCGGATGAGGTTTAGCTTGAGTCGGCTGGCGCAGATTATTCCCCCCTCATCTCCCCTCTTCTCCTCTCTCCTCCCCCCTTCCCCACCCCCATTCTTCCCTCCCCCTCCCCATTCCTCCGCGCAATGGTTCGCGGAGGGATAAAGGGAGCTGTGTTCGTGAGTCGCCTCACTCCCCCCTCCCTTTTACCCCCCTTTCTCCCCCCCCCACCTCCCCTCCCCCTTCCCCCGCGCGCAGGATAATCAGCAATGGTTCGTGGCGGTCGAGATGTGTTGTTGAGTCGCTTCACTCCGCCCCTCCCTTTTACCCCCCCCTTTCCCCCTCCCTTTCCTCCCCTTTCCCCCCGCGCGCAGGAGAACCTGCAATGGTTCGCGGCGGACGAGCGCGGGCGCGACCAGTTTGTGATCCGCTTCGCGTCGGAGACCGAGGTCTACTGGAACGACGCGCGCGCCGCCAAGCCCGACCCCGTCTACCGCCGCACGGTAAGAGGGGGAGAGGGGGAGGGGGAGAGCCGCACGGTAGGGGGAGGGGAGTGGAGCGAGCGACGAGCAGCAGGGGTGGCGGGAGGATGAGAGACCGCGGTCTACGGGAACGACGCACGCGTTGCCAAGCCCGACCCTGTTTACCGCTGCACGGTATGAAGGAGGGGAAGGGGTTGAGGCGCAATAAAGGGATGAGGCGCAATGAGGGGATGAGGCGCAAGGGGGGGATGAGGCGCAAGGGGGGGATGAGGCGCAAGGGGGGGATGAGGCGCAAGGGGGGGATGAGGCGCAAGGGGGGGAATGAGGCGCAGGGGGGGATGAGGCGCAGGGGGCGGATGAGGCGCAGGGGGGGATCAGGCGCAAGGGGAGGATGAGGCGCAAGGGGGGGAATGAGGCGCAAGGGGGGGATGAGGCGCAAGGGGGGGAATGAGGCGCAGGGGGGGATGAGGCGCAAGGGGGGGAATGAGGCGCAGGGGGGGGATGAGGGGCAGGGGGGGTACGAGCCGCAATGAGTGGATGATCCGCAGGGGGGGATGAGCCGCATTGGCGGATGAGCCGCAGGGGGGGGAATGATCCAGCCGCGCCCACGGAAGGGGAAGGGGATTGAGCGGCATGGTTGGGGAGGGATGATAGACGCTATCCCATTCTTCTCCACCCCCCTCTCCACCCCCCTCTCCACCCCCCTCTCCTACCCCCTCTCCACCCCCCTCTCCTACCCCCTCTCCACCCCCCTCTCCTACCCCCTCTCCACCCCCCCCTCCTACCCCCTCTCCACCCCCCTCTCCTACCCCCTCTCCACCCCCCCACTACCCTCTCCTCCCAACCTCTCCCCCTCCTCCACCTTCTCTCCCCTCTCCCCGCCCTCCCCCCCTTCAGTTTTGGACGGAGAGCTTCGTGCAGTGGTCGCCGCTGGGGAGCTACCTCGCCACCATCCATCGCCAGGGCGCCGCCATCTGGGCCGGCTCCTCGTGGCAACGCATCATGCGCTTCGCACACCCGCAGGTGGGTTGTGAGGGTTGCATGGTGGGTTGTGAGGGTTGCATGTTGGGTTGTGAGGGGTGCAGGTGGGTTGTGAGGGATACCTGGTGGAGCAGCCATCTGGGCCGGCTCCTCACGGCAACGCATCATGTACTTCGCGCACCCGCAGGTACCACCTTCCCCAGATAATTGCAGGTACCACCTTCCCCAGATAACTGCAGGTACCACCTTCCCCAGATAACTGCAGGTACCACCTTCCCCAGATAACTGCAGGTACCACCTTCCCCAGATAATTGCAGGTACCACCTTCCCCAGATAATTGCAGGTACCACCTTCCCCAGATAATTGCAGGTACCACCTTCCCCAGATAACTGCGCCCCTTGCTGCTCGTAATCTCCATGCCCTCGTGTGTCAAGCCTTCCTGCGCAGTTTTGGCCGCTCCATTCTTGCTCGCGGGCTCTATTCTTGAGTCGCCTATAAAACCGTCTCAGTTCACGCTCGATTCTTGCTCGCGGGCCCAAAGGAGAAAAAGGCGCGATCCTCCTTCGGTCCCACCTTTTTCTCCTTCCCTGCTCTTACCAACCAACCGTTTTCTTTACTCCTCCCCCTTAGCCCCCCACCCGCTCCTCTACCTTCCCCTCCTCTCCCGCTTTTCCCGCTCCCCCCTTCTCTCCGCCGATTCCACCTACCCCTCCTGTCTCCCATTTCCCCTTCCCTCCCTCTCGTCCCCTTCCCATCGGCCCCTTGCTCGTTACAATCACAGGCCAGGTGCGCCCAATTCACTTCTCGCTGGGGGAGCGGTTTCTGGGGACGTACAACAGCCAGCCACGAGCCTGCTAATGCTGTGCCCTCACCATCTCGTGTGTCTCTTCTCCCCTCACGTTGTGCCGTGCTGCCGTATTCTCCGTCCGTTCCTCCTTTCCCCTCCTCAGGTGCGCCTGATTGACTTCTCGCCGGGGGAGCGCTTCCTGGTGACGTACAGCAGCCACGAGCCCGCTAACCCGTTTCCTTCTCTCTTCCCCCCTCTCCCTCCCGTCCTCCTCGCCCCCCCTTTTCCCCCTCCCCGCTCCCTCGCTCTCCTCCTCATCCCATATCTCCCTCATTCGCTACAATCACTCCGCAGGTGCGCCTGATTAACTTCTTGCCCGGGGAACGGTTCCTGGTGACATACAGCCAGCCACGAACCTGCTAACGCTGTGCCCTCGCCTTCTCCTCCCCCTCTTCTCCCCCCCACGCTGTGCCGTGCGGCCGTATTATTCCCCATCCTTGTTGTGGTGTGCAGGTGCGGCTGATCGACTTCTCCCCCGGGGAGCGCTTCCTCGTGACGTACAGCAGCCACGAGCCCGCCAACCCGCGGGACACACAGAAGGTGGTGCTGAACGTGTTTGACGTGCGTACCGGCAAGAGCATGCGCGAGTTCAAGGGCGCCGCGGACGACTTTGCTACTGGCGGCGCCGGTGGCGTTGCCGGCGTGCAGTGGCCTGTGTTCAGGTGGGTCATGTGGTCTTTAAATGGGTCCTGTGGTTTTCACGGGATCCTTGTGGTCTTCAGGTGGGTTTTGTGGTCTTGAAATGGGTTCTGTGGTCTTACGAGGGTCCTGTGGTCTTCAGTGGTCAACTTCTGTGTGTAGTGCTCGTCTCGCTTCTCCTTCCTCTTCCTCCCCGCTCCACTTTCTCCACTTCCTCTTCCTCCGCTCCCCTTCTCTCTTCCCCTTTTTTCTTTCAGGTGGGCCGGGGGGCGGGAGGACAAGTACTTCGCGCACATGGGGAAGAACTGTGTGTCGGTGTATGAGACGAGCACCATGGCCTTACTTAACAAGACGTCCCTCAAGGCGGACCACGTGCACGACTTCACGTGTTCTCCTCTTTTACCTCTTCCCCTCCCCACCTCTCTCTCCTCCCGACCTCTCTCTCCTCCCCACCTCTCTCTTCTCCTCAACTCCCTATCCATTCCTCCTTCCCTTCCCGGACCCCTGTGCCCCCCCTCTCCCGGTCTCGCGCTGCTCTCTCTCAGGTGGGCGGGCGGGCGGGAGGACAAGTATTTCGCGCGCATGGGGAAGAACTGTGTGTCTGTCTACGAGACGAGCACCATGGCGCTGCTGGACAAGAAGTCGCTCAAGGCGGACCACGTGCACGACTTCACGTGGTCGCCCGCTGAGCCCATCCTGGCCATGTACATTCCCGAGTCCAATGGCGGGAATCAACCTGCTAGGGTGAGTGCCTGTTCCCCTTAGTGAGTGCGGCACAGGGGGCAGCGAGTGCTTGAGTGAGCAGACGGGGCAAGGCGGACCACGTGCACGACTTCACATGGTCGCCCGCTGAGCCCATCCTCGCCATGTACATTCCCGAGTCCAATGGCGGCAACCAACCCGCCAGGGTGAGTGGGATGGGGAGCAGCTTGACTTGGTTTCGCCCCTCCGCCTCTCTGCCCCGCTGCCTCTCTGCCCCGCTGCCTCTCTGCCCCGCTGCCTCTCTGCCCCGCTGCCTCTCTGCCCCTCCGCCTCTCTGCCCCTCCGCCTCTCTGCCCCTCCGCCTCTCTGCTCCCCATCGTCCTGAACCGTCTTACCTTCCCCCCTCTGCCTCTCTTTCTCTTTCCCTCCCCCTTTCTCGCCCTCTCGTCCCCCCCTCACCACCCTCCCCCCATCCAGGTGAGCCTTGTTGCCATTCCATCGCGCGAGGAGCTGAGGCAAAAGAACCTATTCAGCGTGAGCGAGTGCCGCATGGCGTGGCAGAGCGCGGGAGAGTACCTGGCAGTCAAGGTCGACCGTTACACCAAGACCAAGAAAACCACCTACTCGGGCTTCGAGCTCTTCCGCATCAAGGAGCGCGACATCCCTATCGAAGTCCTTGAGCTGGAAAACAAGAACGATAAGGTCATCGACTTTGCGTGGGAGCCCAAGGGGCATAGATTTGCGGTGATTCACGGGGACGGGCCGAAGCCGGACGTGTCGATTTACACGATGAAGCCGGCGGGGGCGGGCGGCGCGGGGGGCGTTGTGAACGTGGCGAAGCTGACGACGCTCAAGGGGAAGCAGGCGAACACGCTGTGCTGGTCGCCCATGGGGCGGTTCCTGGTGCTGGCGGGGCTCAAGGGGTTCAACGGGCAGTTTGAGTTCTTCAATGTGGACGAGCTGGAGACCATGGGCACGGGGGAGCACTTCATGGCCACCGATGTCGAATGGGACCCCACCGGCAGGTGAGAGATGGGGCTTGGTGTGGCGGGTGAGAGATGGGGCTTGGTGTGGCGGGTGAGAGATGGGGCTTGGTGTGGCGGGTGAGAGATGGGGCTTGGTGTGGCGGGTGAGAGATGGGGCTTGGTGTGGCGGGTGAGAGATGGGGCTTGGTGTGGCGGGTGAGAGATGGGGCTTGGTGTGGCGGGTGAGAGATGGGGCTTGGTGTGGCGGGTGAGAGATGGGGCTTGGTGTGGCGGGTGAGATGGGCAGGGTGTGCGGGTGCATGGCTGTGGAGAGAGGGGACTGGGGGGGGGGGGGGGCGGGGGTTGGGTATGTGAGGCGGGGCTGAAGGGGTTCAACGGGTAGCACACCCCTCTTCCCTCCCTTCCCTGCATCTCCCCGCATCGCAAATAAGCTGCCTAACCACGTCACTGGCATCTGGTCCTTCAGCACCCGTTTTTCTGCTCTCTTCTGTTCCCTTCAAACCCTCCCCCTCCCCCCCCCCCCCCCCTGCCCCCCTTACCACCCTCTTGGCCCCATTCCTCCTCCCTCCCCTCCCCCTCCCCCTCCCCCTCCCCGTCACCCTCACCCTCCCCCTCCGCTGCCATCACCACCAGGTACCTAGCAACGGCGGTGACGTCGGTGCATCAGATGGAGAACGGCTTCCACATCTGGTCCTTCAGCGGCCGCCTGCTCTACCAGCTCCCCCGCGACCGCTTCATGCAGGTGAGAGGGAGGAAGGCTCGTGCTGCCATGCTGCCATGCTCCGAGTGTCCCCGTGCATTTCGATAGTCATCATGGTTTTTTTTTTGCATGTGTAAACAACAAGACGAACAGCGGACTCCCCTCTCTTGTTTCCGTTCCCACTTTTTGTCTCGATGTACCTTCTAGTCCTCCTCGTAATCCGCCTTGCATCTTTCCCTCACATTGTCTGCACTGCACTGCACTCCCCCTTCCCTGGACCTTTGAAGTGGCTCAAAAAAACCTTACCGTCTCCCCTCGCCAACCCTCGCTGTGCCTTACGTCCTTGCCTTTTTCCTTATCTCTCACCTTCCAGTTCCTGTGGAGACCCCGACCCCCCTCCCTGCTGCCCGCGGAAAAAGAGGCAGAAGTTTCCAAGAACCTGCGCAAGTACAGCCGAAAGTACGAGGTGGAGGACGAGGAGGCCGGGGCGGCGTCAAGCGCAGCCGAGGTGGAGAGGCGGCGCATGGTGCTGGACGAGTGGCGGCAGTGGCAGGCGGAGTGGCGGCACATAGACGAGCAGGAGGAGAAGCTGCGGGCAGCGATTAGAGGAGGCGTGAAGGAGGAGGAAGAGGAGTATAAGGCGGAGGAGGTGGAGGTGGAGGAGATTATTGACATTCAGGAGGAGATTGAGAGGTTTGAGTGAGGGGGAAGGGGAGGGGGTGCTGCAGAGGTGGAGAGGCGGCGCATGGTGCTAGACGAGTGGCGGCATATCGATGAACATGAGGAGTTTAAGGCGGAGGTGGAGGTAAAGGAGATTATTGACATTCAGGAGACTGAGAGCTTCGAGTGAGAGGGAGGGGGGAGATGGCATTTGTTTGTTTGGTTCTTGAGCATGTGCAGATTCCTGTAGCAAGTATATGTTCTGTAATGTTACCAGAGTACCAGATTCTGCTTTTTGTCACACCCTTTTTTGTGAACCACGTCTGATTATTCAGACCCCTGAAGTCTTAACATTGAAAATGAATCTGAAGAAGTCACAAGAGAAATCACTAGAGAAGGAACCACAATTTTTAATGTACAGTCACTATGACAAGCCGGAGTTCCTTAACTGAGGACCGTGTGTATGAGGGTGCGGCGAGAGTCCCCTCCTGTAATGAATACGAATTCATTACTGTAGAGGCTGCTCCTAGCGAGGACAACCCCGAGCATTTCGTGTCAGTTTCGAGGTTCGGCCTATACTTCGGACCGAACCACTGCCGAGTCGCTCCGCACCAATCGCGACACTTCCAAACCATCCACGTCCCGAGGTCCTCGCCTACCACGGTTTCGACCCTATAAATGCATGCCTCTTTATCATTCTCGACATTCTGTACTTCTCATCCAGTTTATAAAGTCTTCCGCGCACTCTTCTTAGTACAACTCATAACACCTCCCCTCCCACGTGTCACTCCTAAACACATGAGATTTTGTGCTGTAGAGAACCTCCTTTGGTTACCAGTTGATGCAGCACTGTTACTGGATTTTTTTCTCCTACGCGCAGTTCTGTCGCTTCTGATCAGGGCGCAGAAACAGACGTATCAATTGGTTATGGAGGACCTCCACCGGATCCGACTTGCCGCATCGAGCTTAGGAAACTCTCAAGTTTTCCCACCATCAGAAGTTTGCCCACGCGACTCGAAATGTTGACGTGGCATTATTTTACATTGGAAAGTTTCCCCACGCGATATGAAGTTTGGCCACCATGAGTCCAACCGGCCATGGTCGCAATTCCTGGCCTGCTCGTCAGTGTACGACAATGGAGATCATGCCACGTTTGCTGGGTGTTGGGACTAGTGTTATTAGACATGCCAGTTTCGTGCACACAGCCGTCCCATATATTTCTTTCCTGCCCACGAAACCCATTTCTGCGTTGCTTGATTTTGCCAAGTAAACCCACGTTGACTTGATATGACCATTGTGCCCAAAATTTACGTCAGGCGCAATCGTCAGGCACGGCCGTTTAGGTTTTGCCTGACGAAGTTCCTCCAACACTTGGTATGCGAGCTGGCGCGTCAATTTTATTGGATATCGGACATGCGACGCTGGCGACATCTGTCGCCCGCCTAAATGAGGTTCGGTGGGTAGAGTGGGAGCGTTCCCACCAAAGGCACCATCATCTTCGGAAAAACGGGCTGGTGGGCAAACTTCGATGGTGGGAAAACTTGAGAATGGGCTCATATTCTCACCGACCATAACTTATCACCCGGGTACCTATTCTTGTTCAAACTAGTTTATATGGGTAGTTCTAGAATGAGCGGGAGCAGAATTACGTATCCCTTCGTGAGGTATGGTAAGCACAACTTGGTCAATGCCAATCCGCCCTTTCTCTCGGATCACTAAGTGTGAGGTTCATTATAATGAAATTCCTCCTGGGTGTTCACTGCTAGTTCTGTAGTCACAGGTTGCCCGTCTCACTAAACGAATTAGACCCGGGTCGGATGGTGAAAATTAAGGAGGACCAGGTGAAGAACTTGGGTTTGTCGCGGTCAAGAAGTTCGGTTTCTTCTCATGATCATGAAGTATCTGGTACTGTATGTTTTTGTCACGATTCTATGTGTGTACACCTTCCCTTTTATTCCGTATGTACCCTTTACGGACTTTGTCTTGATGCGATGGATACCCAGAGACTACGGGACTAGACAGCTGGCAGGTGCCTTCAGAAAAGAAACTCGCACTTACAATTCGGGTTCGGGGTTTAGTTAGGTTTGGGTTCTCTTATATATTATTGGTGCACCCCGACAGTTCACGAAAGTACGTCGGACCCTCCTCCGCGGTTTTCCTAGACGTTGGTAACTACCCTACGAAACCGATAGGGATAGGTGAAGTACCCCGGGGTGTACGATTAAGGGGTGTGGTTCTAGCCTTGTCTAGACCAGTGGTGGCTAGATCTAGTGCCACACTGGGTCTCTGTGCATTGAAGCTGTACTGTACACTTGAGAGGTAGGAATTCCATTCCAAGCTTTCCAGCCACAAGAGTGGAGTTCATGCTCGCGTTCATTCAACGAAGAGCCCAACTTGTCCTTGGTCTACACTTCAGATGTATGCAAGCGTGACAAGAGAAAGAAAAAGGGAACATGCGGCGTCAAACCACTGCTCAAGCAAAACAGTTACGGCTACGCTACAGTTTTTAGAAAAAAAGATTGCTTTGATATTGTATTTTATTGTAAACCATCACCCTGTCTCAAAATTTATTGGTGATGGTTTACATCAGACCAGTTTTAATCTAGTTAGTACAACATGTTATAGCAGGGTGGCATTTCGTGATATGTCAACAATTGTAATTTGACACTAGGAATTTGCACAAAGCTGCTTCACTAGAGACGGTTGTGTATGTGTTTTAAATGTCACTTTAGTACCTGTCAAAGTTTTTTTTTCAGTTGTTACTACTAGCTGTACTTGTTTCTTATGAAATTTGTTTTTGTATTTTGCAATCGCTTCTACTTTACTTTGGGTGGAATAACATATTGATACAACATGGAGCGTAGCTACTGAATCAACTCAACGCGCTTCTCACGCTTGCGTAGGAGTCGGTGCTCGCCCTCGAAGATCACCTTTTCGAAGAGTGAATTCGTCCCCCAGTAGAAAGATTAGAGGCATTAGAATATAGAGTCAGCTAGTGGTTGGAATGGTGTCGTTAGGTCTTGCTGCCGCAGGTCGTGCAGATAAGCCGAGGTGGATGGTGACGTCAGCTCTTGCTGCAGGTCGTGGTGGGTGTAGATAAACGACTCACCCCCACTGCCGGTGCGGGAATGCCGCCCATTCCCCCACAGGATGATGCTGTCGTTGTTAAGGTGCACAGATAACAACACAGGTGTCCAGTAGTAGATTCAAGTCAGATAGGGATTTCAGGTCGTCTTCAAGTTGAAGTAGTGTAGAGCAAGCATCTGATGTCCTAGAGCAGTGGGAAGAGAGTCCCCCCAAGTCGATTCGGTGTTCGGTTCCTGTAGGAGACACTGACTCCTCCAGTGTTTCTCCCTTCACTGAATGTCGTCTCCGCAATCATGGAAAGTGGGGAGCAATCGGGACGAGAGCCATCGTTCAGTATTCTTGGGGGGGCGTTTTGTGCGACGAAACCCTCGTCTGCTTCCAAACTAGTAGCGAGACTTGCACATTTCGGCGGCGAGCTTGGAGTTGCTCTTTGGAGTTATTACCTACTACTACCAGTAGCGCCTGCTCTACTAGGAATCGAGCACCACGTACTGCTACCACAGCATAGGCTCCCGTAAGCTGGTGCTACTAGTAGTGTACTACTAGATTCCTCGTAATTCCAGGAGAGGCTGTCACAGCCTATCACGTCGCGGCGGCACATCATACATACTATGTCACCCGGCTCTGATTCGCGGCAAAGCGGCCAGAGTCTGCGCCATGGTCAAGCTCATGATGCCGCTGCCGCAGTGGCAGAGGCAGCTCTGCCTGAATCGGCGCCAGCATCGCCGTCAGTCTCGGTTCTAACCTGCTCCGATACCACTGACGTTTCCGAGAATCATGATGCCACCAGTGGTAGCCCGGACTCGGAGGGCTCCTCTGGAAAGCAGGAGCAGCGTCGTGGCGGCTTGCGGTTGAACCGACGTGCGGTCGAACCCAATCGTGCACCATCAGCATCAGCATCACGGATCCACGTGATCCCCAGAGCCCACATTCCAGACTCTGAGTCGAACAAGGCAACTACCACCTCAGCAACTCCGCAGCCGCCGCTGCAGCATCAGCAGCATCAGCATCAGCATCAGCAGCATCAGCATCAGCATCAGCAGCATCAGCATCACAGCTCCACATCATCACATCATCCCCATCGCTGCCACGTCATGAGACCCAGGCACGTGACCTGAGTCATTCGCACATGAGCGATGCAATGCTTGCATCGCTCGACTCAACCACTCTCCAGAGGCTGCTAGAACATCTCGCGAGTATGGCCGCAGCAGAGCGGCCCGGAGGAGAAACACCGTCTGGAACAACGCGAGAAACACCGTCTGGAACAACCGTTTTCTCCAGCGTGCCGCGTCAACGCCACATCATGCATCATGGGCCACTGCCAGCTAATGCCGGCCCACTGGCAGCTAATACCGGCCTACTGGCAGCTAATACCGGCCTACTGGCAGCTAATGCCGGCTCACCGGCAGCTAATACCGGCCTACTGGCAGCTAATGCCGGCCCACCGGCAGCTAATGCCGGTCTACTGGCAGCTAATGCCGGCCCACTGGCAGCTAATGCCGGCCCACTGGCAGCTAATGCCGGCCCACTCTCGTCCGTGCAACCCCTGGCAGAGGCGCCGCGGAGCGCAATGGAGACCGCTACATTCAAGAGCTCAGCCACGGTTCCCAGCGTCACAGCTGTAACACCCGATCAAATCATATCTGATCCAGCCGGCGGCGGCGGCGGTCTGCGGTTCTACTATTTCTCCTTCCCCAACGGCGTGTGCGGCTTCTTTCAAGCCGACGAACCAGCCAGTTTGGGATCAACTCATGCGGAGGGCCAGCCTAAGCCTAGTACCACCACCATTTGCCCACAGCCGGAGCCTCGGACCCTTGTTGAGGCTCAGCCCGAGCCTAGTACCTCCATCTGCCCAAACCTGGGGTCCGGAATCGTCAGTTCTTGTCCAGAAAGCCATGCCGCGTCGGCGGATGCGAGATCATCTGATGATGGGTCCTCATGGCTAGCGGCGCGTGGCGGCCTGTCCGACTCGCAAACTGCAGCGTGGGTTGGCGTGGGGGGTCAGGGAGAGATGCGTGTGGGGAATGAGGGAGGGGTGCGCATTGCAGAGGGGCATGGTGGACAGATCCAGATCAGTTCAACGCCGAGAAAACTGGCGGCGGGGTCTAGCCGTGCACCCTGGCGGCGGGGTCTAGCCGTGCACCCTGGCGGCGGGGTCTAGCCGTGCACCCTGGCGGCGGGGTCTAGCCGTGCACCCTGGCGGCGGGGTCTAGCCGTGCACCCTGGCGGCGGGGTCTAGCCGTGCACCCTGGCGGCGGGGTCTAGCCGTGCACCCTGGCGACGGGGTCTAGCCGTGCACCCTGGCGGCGGGGTCTAGCCGTGCACCCTGGCGGCGGGGTCTAGCCGTGCACCCTGGCGGCGGGGTCTAGCCGTGCACCCTGGCGGCGGGGTCTAGCCGTGCACCCTGGCGGCGGGGTCTAGCCGTGCACCCTGGCGGCGGGGTCTAGCCGTGCACCCTGGCGGCGGGGTCTAGCCGTGCACCCTGGCGGCGGGGTCTAGCCGTGCACCCTGGCGGCGGGGTCTAGCCGTGCACCCTGGCGGCGGGGTCTAGCCGTGCACCCTGGCGGCGGGGTCTAGCCGTGCACCCTGGCGGAGGGGTCTAGCCGTGCACCCTGGCGGCGGGGTCTAGCCGTGCACCCTGGCGGCGGGGTCTAGCCGTGCACCCTGGCGGCGGGGTCTAGCCGTGCACCCTGGCGGCGGGGTCTAGCCGTGCACCCTGGCGGCGGGGTCTAGCCGTGCACCCTGGCGGCGGGGTCTAGCCGTGCACCCTGGCGGCGGGGTCTAGCCGTGCACCCTGGCGGCGGGGTCTAGCCGTGCACCCTGGCGGCGGGGTCTAGCCGTGCACCCTGGCGGCGGGGTCTAGCCGTGCACCCTGGCGGCGGGGTCTAGCCGTGCACCCTGCGCTCCTCTCTGTGAAATCTGGCAAGAGCAGTCCGCCGCAGTCGGGGTGGAGTCATCATCGTTTAACCGTCACTGTGAAACAGCTGCCATTGCAATGGATATGGCACCTGGAGGGAGCGCCGGCTGTAGTGATGACAATGTGGCTTTCGAACCGACCTCTCAAAGGCTTGAGAATGATGGTGCTGTGAACGCTGTTGTGACGCCGATGCCGACTCACCAAGTACCTGTTTCCTCCATCAGCCCCACCGCTGTTGACCTCGTGGACTTGTACTTGCACGGTGCAAGCATGGCAACTGATACCTGCCCCCACAGCAGCAGACTTAACGCAGGTGAACCGGGTGAACCGGACCGGGAACCTGCTGGAGTGAACGGTCTTTGCCATGCCGACATGGCCGCTACTTCTGTGGGGCTGCAGAGCATCACCTCGGAGTCGCAGAATGTGAGCGAAGGCCTTCTTAACTCTTGGGAAGTTCAGCAACTGCTTGCTGCTGCTGCCGCTTCTGCTGCTGCTGCTGCTGCTGCTCCTGCTGGGACGAACGAGCCCCATCATTTTACAACAACAGACTCTTCCCACTCTCCTGGCTCCCCGCACGCTCCCCACCGTCCACACTACCTAGTACATGCTTCAGGATTTCCAGACATAGACTCTCCAAACGCCAGAGGTGCTCTTTCAGCAGCTGATGCTGCTGCTCCTTCTGCAGCTGATGCTGCTGCCGGCGCTGCTGCAGATCGCACCACTGTTGCTACTGAGTGCGCAAAAGCAGAAAGCATGTTCGTGGGTGGGTGCGACGACTACACGTCCCTACTCCTCATGGACCCTCTCACCCTCATCGACTCGCTGCCGTATCCCTTCACCACCTTTGAAGCCCTGGCTCCGGGCGCAAACATGCTGACCGGAAATTCCCCGAGAGGGAACATGCCGACAGAGATCTTCTCAACGGCTGCGCAAGCAGCAGCTTGCATCAAATTGGCGTCACTGGGAGGGCGGAATGGAGATGCTGAGGTGGGAGGGGGGCTGCCGCAGGCGAGCCAGGACTTGATGGCACAGGAGGAGCTCTTGCAGACGCTGCTGCTAGAGGAGGCACCAGAGACGGGTGGAAATAGGATGCTGAGTGTTACGTGCAGTGCGGGGATGCCTGCAGATCAACCTGGTGAATTATATGAGTATTCTCCTAATGGCCCAGCCGTGAAACAACCTGGGGATTTATCTGGAGGTGCATCTGGAGATCCATTTGGAGATCCAACGGTCCACAGCTGCCACCATGAACATTTCAGTCGCTGAATCGTGTGTGATGCCAAGAAAGACTGGTGATTCTAGCTATGCTGATGTTGCACTTTCTGTGGGTGGGAGTGAGGAAGTTTTGCTGAAGACGGCCGTAGTGGGTGCTGCTGTGGGTGCTCCAAAGGGGAAGGAGGAGGGAAGCAAGCAGCAGAAGAAGAGGAAGAAGGCACAGAAGAAGGCTGAGCTGGTGGCTGCTGATCAACCTGAGTCTCCACCTGCCGCTCCAGCCATGAAAAAACTTGGAGATTCATCTGGAAATCCCATCAAATATCTCTCTGGAGATCCAACGGTCTACAGCAGCCTGGCGCTCCTCGAGGCCACAAGCGCACCAGGTGCAGAAGCAAGCGTGATGCCATGAAACTATAGCGATTCTAGTGAAACAGGGGTTGCACTTGGTGTGGCTGGAAATGAGGCAGTGGCACCAGAGGAAAGCAAGCAGGAGAAAGGCAAGCAACAGAAGAAGAGGAAGAAGACACAGAAGAAGGCTGAGCAGGTGTCACCAATAGAGGGTAGGCAGCTGGATGCTGCTGCTGTGAAGGCAGCTCCCCAAGCCAAGAAAGCAAGGAAGCAGAACGCATCACGAGGCCCTGAGTTCTCTGGCCAGGGCAATAGTCAGGCTGAGCCTTCCAGTGCTGCAAGTGCTGCTCCTGAACCAGCGCCAGCTCGCTTAGACTCGGCTGGTGATGCCAGTGCAGGGGTGAATAGCCTCTCAACCCCCCCTCCTGCACATGCTGCTGCCAATCCGAAAGGACCCCGACCTGAGACGATCAAGAGACGAGCAGAAGAGATATCCCGTGAAGAAATGAGGTACATTGGAGTTCGAAAGAGGGGATTGGGCAATCGGTGGGTGGTGGAGAGAAAGGACAACATCCATGGCGTGAGGAGGTGGCTTGGGACGTTCGCCACACCTGAAGAGGCAGCTCGGGAGTATGATAAGGCAGCACGGGAAATAAGAGGTGAAACCACCCGCCGCACCAACTTCCCCTTTCACAAGTAAAGGCTTTCATGGAATCCAGGAAATCGGTTCCATTTTTTTCTATTGATTCACAGTTAGGTTTTGTATTGTGCCATTGATTAATAGCCCGTTTCATGTTGTTGTCTTTGAGAAGACAAACTTGTTGATCAATAAAAGCTCGTTCGCAATTGTACACTGGTCAAGAAGTGCTGCCACATAAGGCGTACGGTAATGACAATCTGAACCTGGAAAATGAATATTTTTAAAAGCTGTAACGCTTTTCAAAATTGTGTATTTTGAAAGCGAAGCGGCTTGTAATGTAGCAATGGTCATCGGCGAACCGCGCTAAACACCCGTTTTGGAGTACAAAACGTGGGCTGGAGGTCATTTCCCTCCACCCACGTCTCTCATTTTCAATTTTTCATTTTCAAAATTGTGTGGGTCTTTCCACCTGACGCGCCTCAGGCCCCTGACGCGCCTGTGGCCTCGCCCGTCTTCACCTCGGCCCAACTGCAGCAGCTGTTGTCCCTCTTACAGCAGCAAGTCCCCGCCGTTACGGAAGCAACCGCTACACCAAACGCGACTTCAATTTCTGCTAAAAGCGCAAAGGAAAAAAGGGAGACGGTGCAACACGCTCGCACGGCAAAAATCGCACGCACCGAGGGCACCACTGTCAAGGCTACCCCGGGACCGGAAAATCCCGCCGACAGCGACACTTCAGACGACGAAGCTGGTGAGGCACCTGCTGATAATGCATTTTTTTCGACCACCGAGCACCTTCCCCCTCTTCCCACCTCCAACCCCAACCTCCCCGCATCCTCATTCAAGAACGCGGCTGTCCGTGAGCAAGCCGAGCTCGAGGACCTGCGCGCTTACCTGATGCACGCGGAACAGAAGGTGCGACTCAACGAACCGGCCAGTGCCATCGAGCTTCTCGAGGAGGCACTCACGCTCGTCAACAATCGTTTCAAGCTTCTTCACGTCGCCGATTACACGAACTTCCGCGTTGCTAACTGGTTCAAGATGTACGAGGAGAAGAGCTTGTTCACCTCACACCCATTCAAGCAAGCCATGGCGGACGTTGCGGCCATGGAACGCGCGCAAGGCAATCTCGGTCGTGCCGCACGCGGTGGAGGGCGAGGAACCGGAGCATTTGGCAACAAACGCGGGCTGCCAATGGACGAAAACGGCAGGAGCTTTCGTGGAACTTGCTTCAAGTGCGGGCAGCCAGGCCACAGGGCCAATGTGTGCCCAGAAAATGGGCGGGGACCCCAAGGTCCCGCGCCGGTGGTGTGACCCCTTGAGGGGGAAACCACTTGGGGGCGCGGAGAGGATGTTGCATGGGCAACACGGCGCGCTTAAGCCGCTGGCCAGATCAGTTGAGCGCGTAGAACGGCCGCCGGCCGACCCCAAGTGAAGGGGGTAGGACTAGGAGTCCTAGGTTTTAGCCATGAGTGGCAATCATGAGATCTATGCGTATGGAATATAGGCCGGAAGGGCATGAAATGTGGATGATTGTTGTTACGTGGCCAATGAATAATATTTGAACGTTTGAAACCTGGATTGTTGAAGCAAGCAAGCCTCAAAGAGTGGAGGTATTTGCTGCCGGCGAAAAAAAAAAAAAAAAAAAAAGAGAGAGAGAGAGAGAGGAAAGTAAGACGAGAAAGAAAGCGAGCAAGTGCGAAGTGCGAAATGATGGGGATTGTTTAAGGAGGCTACATGATTCGGCCAGCACCCGCCCAATTTAATGGGACAAGAGAGGGCCACTAGCAAGGCAAGCACACAAGGAGGCATACAGGTGGAGAGGGGCAGGCATATTACTACGCGCAATTGCCACGACGGGAAAATAGCCCGCGACACAAGACACGCTACCAAAAAAAAAAAAAAAGAACGAGACACGATACGGCAGCCCACCTAGGGCTTGTTGAACACCGCGAAAGAGAAGAAGACAAGGAAGAAGAAGAGAGAGAGGGAGAGTGAGAGAGAGGGAGGGAGAGAGAGAGTGAGAGAGAGAAGCAAACGTGCCAATCCGGAAGAGAAGGTGAGGAGTGCGCAAACGACCTATCCGGTATGGGCTCATCCACACACGGCTTCATTGTTGGTACATGCAATCGTATCAAGGACAATAAGCACCCGTTAAAAAAAAAAAAAAAAAAAAAAAAAAAAAAAGAGGCGTACTCATAGTCCGTGCCTTTCTTCGACCCGTGGCACAGATACACCGGAGATCGGGATGGGCGAGCAACACATTCCCTACGAATACGCGATCACAGACGAGCTCGTAACAAGGATGCGCGGGCGACTACGTGCGGCATTTCCATGGTGGAGTTCATGGTGCGAAAGCAGCTTCATACTATCAGTAATCGTACACGGCTACTGGATGCCGTGGAAACTTGCCGCCCCGGTGCTCTTCCAGCGGGACAACCATGCGGGCGCACAGATCCACGCCCAGTTCACCAAACAGGCTATCTGCGAGCTCCTGGAAAGCGGCGCAGCGGCTCTCGCCCTCGCGGATCAGGCTGTATGCATTAGCCCACTAAACGTGGTGGTCCAGAGAGAGAAATGCTGACTGATCCTCGACCTCCTCCAAGTGAACCTGCACTTGCGCATTCCAAAATTCAAATACGAGGGGCTCAACCGGGTTGCACAGATCGCTCGCCCGGGCGATTGGATGTTCTCTATCGCCCTGAAGTCTGGGTATCACTACGTGGATACTCACCCATCATGCTGGAAGTACATGGGGTTTCGATTCGACGGAAAGACATACATATTCCGCTCGCTCCCTTTCGGCCTCGCAACAGCCCCGTTCGTTTTCACACAACTGATCAAACAACTTGCCCGGCGCTGGCGAGCCATGGGCATACGGGTCATTCGTTATGTGGACGATATTCTTTTCCTTTGTGACACGGAAGCAGCGGCACGAGCCACATGCAACTCAATCATGCATGACCTCAACAAGGCAGGCCTGGTGATGTGAAGAAATGAGGAATGAATGAACTAGCAAGCAGGGGGGTACAAGTAGGAAAACCTAAAAGTGTTGTACCCCATATTGTCTACCCCACTACAGTCTACACAGACTATAGCATATGAGTTTGACACACCCCCATAGGCAAAGTGGGGGAGAACAAGAGGTCACAAGACCAGCCAAGCAAAGCAAAGCAAGCTCAGGGTGGATCACAACGTCACCACACATTCCGAGCACAAGAGCAAGGCCAACACGCCAATTCACATGCAAGATCAAATATAAAGGTAAACAAGCAAGTGCAGGTATAGAAAGATCATAGTACAAGCAAGGTCAAGAAGTGAGCAAGTGAGGCCAAGTAGGCACAAGACCTAGCATCGTACAGCAGCGCTGATGATCACAAGGCGGAAGTGCCTTGGTAAAGATATCAGCAGTGTTGGCCTCAAAGGCCACGTAAACAAGGCGCAGCTGACCACGCTGCTACAGCTCACGAGCAAGGAAGTAGCGAAGAGCAATGTGCTTCGTTCTGTGCTCCAGTCTGTGCTCCCGACACAAGGCCAGCATGGCCTTGTTGTCTACGTACAGAACTGGAGAAGAACGAGGCGGCTCTCCTAGGTCAGTCAGCACGTAGGTGAGCCAACGTAGCTCCTGTGCAACCATGGCCCCCGCGTAAATCTCAGCCTCACAGCTGGAGCCGAGAACAGAAGACGAGCGGGTAGACCGCCACGAAATAGAGCTGGAACCAAGGTTGAAGGTGTAACCCTGTGACGACCGCTGCGTAGCTTGGTCGTCAGCCCAAGAAGCCTCGGCGTGACCTGTGAGGACCACTGAACGTCGCCCTCCAAGCACTAGCCCCATGCCCGACGTACTGCACAAGTAGCGCTACACCCTCTTCGCTACAGCCATGTGCTCTAGTCGGTGTCTCCCAGGAGCAACATAGCATGCCAAGATGCTAAGAGGGTATGCAAGGTCAGGTCGTATGCAGGTCATCAGGTACATGAGGCAGCCAACAAGCTCTGGGTACGGGCCACTCGGCTCTACGGACTCATCCGAAGGCAGAGCTGAGAGCGAGTGGCGAGTAGACAGAGGAGTGGCCCGAGGCGAGGAGTACGTGAAGTCGAAGCGTTGAAGAACCTGCTGCACCATGTGTGACTGAGTCAGGGTAATGGTGCGCTGTGCTCTGTCCCGGGTGATCTGCAAGCCAAGGTAGCTGCGCAGTTCCCCCAGGTCTGTGCACGTGTGTCTCTTCTGCAGCTCGGACTTCACGTGGGCGAGTCCAGCAGTGTCAGCAGTGGCAAAGACCAAGTCGTCGACGTACACGAGGATGTAGAACGGCGGCAAAGAGTTGTCGGTGCGCAGAAACAACGACGGGTCGGCAGTAGAAGGAGCAAACCCAAGAGCCGCAAGTGTAGTCCTCAGTGTGTCGTGCCACTCACGGGGCGCCTGGCGGAGACCGTAGACTGGCCGCCGGAGGCTTCACTGGGTACCCGGGGGAAACGACCCAGTGAAGCCAGGTGGGCGGCGCAGCCAGATCTCCTCGTGCAGGCTGCCCTGTAGGAAAGCTGTGCTGAAGTCAAGAGAGTGAAGCTCGTAGTCGCGCTGAGCGGCTATGTGCAGCAGCACCCGAAGAGTGGTCATCTTCGGGGTGGGAGAGAAGGTCTAAAAGTAGTCAACTCCCTGCCGCAGACTGAAGCCTCGAGCCACGTAACGCGTCTTGAAGACAGGCGGAGAACCCGGCGCCCGCTTCACCCTGAAAATCCACATGCCACTGACGATGTTCGCCCAAGGTGGGGGAACCTCGTCGACGTAGGTGCCTGTGGACTTCTAGAAAGCCATCTCTTCGTCCATGGCTGACTGCCACTGAGAGGAGTAGGGACGCTCGATCGCCTCAGCGTACGATCGAGGAGTCGGGATGTCTGGTGCATCCGGGTCTCCCACAGGGGCAATCAGCGTGGACACAAGATGAGGCAAAGCAGCAGCAAAACACTGGAACTCCTCCTGCGTGTCCTCAAGGACGTCCGTGCTAAGAGCACACTCACCCCCGACAAACGGAGGACAGACAGACTCAGACTCAACAACAAGA